GTGATTTACACCACGGCATCCGACGCTTTGCATTGCACTTGGTGATGTAAGGCTTGGATGCAGCTGCTCGGCCATGGAAACCCATTGGAAACTCCATGAAGCTCTCTACGCACTGTTGTTGGGCTCATCTGAAGGCCACACGAAGTTTGGAGGTCTTTATTGACTCTGCAGACAGTTGGTGACTTCTGCGCACTGTGCGCTTCAGCATGCGCTGACTCCGCTCTGTCATTCTACGTGGCCTACCTCTTCGTGGCTTTGTTGTTGTTGTTCCCAGTTGCTTCCACTTTGTTATAATCCCACTAACAGTTGACCATAGAAATTTTACAGATCCATACATGGGTCGAATTCCAAACTAATTTTAGAAAATTGGAAATGTTGGGCATTTTGTAATCTGATGGTGCCGCCATTGATTTCAAAATTCGAATAACCAAGCTTCTGATTTCACCTCATGTTGCTACAGAAAAGCATTTTCATGGTCAAGAATTTTCTTTTCTTTCCAGCTCACAGCTCATTTCTTTTTTGATTACATTTCTTGCATGAATGTCCCATTATTGATTAGAAATTTGTACATTTTTCCAACATACCCGATCATTCAAATTCGATGGTCACTCAAAATATTGGCTGTTGCTGTGGCCCACTAATGGTGCAAAATTCGAACGAAAATTCTTAGCAAAGGCTTTCAAAAGAAAATTCTTTTGGAATTCAACCCGTGTATGGCTGGCTGTATTGCACAGGTGGCAAGTCTGCATGCCTAGGGGCTTAATTTTATACACCTGTGGCCATGGAGGTGATTGGAACACCTGAATCACATGATTTGGAGGGCTGGCCCAATACGTTTGGCAATATAGTGTATATAAAGGTAACATTTCTTTTGCTATTAATTTATAATAGGTAATAATATTATTAACCCTTTAGTGATGGAGGGTACATAAATCCCAACACTTGAACATAGTTATACAACTTTGAAATGTATTAGTAAAACTGTTCATATCTGTTTTGTGTATCCAGTTGGATTATAACTTGTTTTTTTTCAAGACAGATTGGACTTTCATTTGGTGGTAAATGGTAATAGATATCTCCTGATTTCTTTTTATTTTAAAAAGAAAAACTAGCACAAAATTGGAAAAAAGATTAATTTTCTAAAATGTAGCTGTATATTTCTTGTTATCACCATAACCTACCACCATAAAACAAGTCAAAATAAATTCTCCTGCTCCTGACAATTGCAGCGATACCACATATTTTATAGTATATTATTGTGTGTGTTAGTTCTTGTTTATACTCGTAGTGCGGCCCCAAAATTTTGGTGCATATATTTTTTTTTTTAATTCTTCCTAAAACACACTAAGCCCTGGTTCACGCCGAATGCAATTTCAAAGTGGTGCGATTGGGTCCCATTTAAAGCGCAACTTCAAAGTAGCGCTGATATAGACACAGGTGTGATTTCAGTGCTATTTAACTTATAGTCTAATGAGAGTTAAATGGCACTGAAGTGGTGAAAATGTAATGCAGGAACTATTTTTCAAATTGTGCTACTTGAAATCACTCTATTATGACAGTGCCATAGAAATACATTACATGCGACTTCAGGTGCGATTTGCTAATTTATTTAATAAGTATTTATTTACTGTATTTCAGGTACTTACATTGGGGCAAAAAAGTATTTAGTCAGCTACCAATTGTGCAAGTTCTCCCACTTACAAAGATGAGAGAGGCCTGTAATTGGCATCATAGGTAGACCTCAACTATGAGAGACAAAATGAGAAAAAAAATCCAGACAATCACATTGGCTGATTTGGAAAGAATCTATTTGCAAATTATGGTGTAAAATAAGTATTTGGTCAATATCAAAAGTTCATCTCAATACTTTGTTATATATCCTTTGTTGGCAATGACAGAGGTCAAACGTTTCCTGTAAGTCTTCACAAGGTTGGCACACACTGTTGCTGGTATGTTGGCCCATCCTCCATGCAGATCTCCTCTAGAGCAGTGATGTTTTGGGGCTGTCACTGGGCAACATGGACTTTCAACTCCCTCCAAAGGTTTTCTATGGCGTTGAGATCTGGAGACTGGCTATGCCACTCCAGGACCTTGAAATGCTTCTTACGAAGCCACTCCTTCATTGCCTGGGTGGTATGTTTGGGATCATTGTCATGTTGGAAGACCCAGCCACATTTTATCTTCAATGCCCTTGCTGATGGAAGGAGGTTTGCACTCAAAATCTCACGATACATGGCCCCATTCATTCTGTCCTGTACATGGATCAGTCGTCCTGGTCCCTTTGCGGAGAAACAGCCCCAAAGCATGATGTTGCCACCCCCATGCTTCACAGTAGGTATGATGTTCTTTGGATGCAACTCAGCATTCTCTCTCCTCCAAACACGACGAGTTGTGTTTCTACCAAACAGTTCTATTTTGGTTTCATCTGACCATATGACATTCTCCCAATCCTCTTCTGGATCATCCAAATGCTCTCTAGCAAACTTCAGACGGGCCCGGACATGTACTGGCTTAAGCAGAGGGACACGTCTGGCACTGCAGGATCTGAGTCCCTGGCGGCGTAGTATGATGGTAGCCTTTGTTACGTTGGTCCCAGCTCTCTGCAGGTCATTCACTAGGTCCCCCCATGTGGTCACCGTTCTTGTGATCATTTTGACCCCATGGGGTGAGATCTTGCGTGGAGCCCCAGATCGAGGGAGATTATCAGTGGTCTTGTATGTCTTCCATTTTCTAATTATTGCTCCCACAGTTGATTTGTTCACACCAAGCTGCTTGCCTATTACAGATTCAGTCTTCCCAGCCTGGTGCAGGTCTACAATTTTGTTTCTGGTGTCCTTCGACAGCTCTTTGGTCTTGGGCTCTTGATGAGAGCCTGGTCTCTGTGCTGGGAGCCCACTGTGCAGCATGCTCCCAGCACAAACACAAGTATGCATATATGTGGCCCCCACGGAAAGACTCACTTCCATGAGGTCACATATACAGTATGTGTGCAATCAGCAGGAAGGGGTTAATGTTATTATTAGTCATCCTTATTATTGTTATTATTTTCTATTATGGATGATTTTTGTTATTGTTACTGTCATGTCATCATTCTTATTTGCTACTTTTATTCTTACTATAATTTTTACTATTGTCATGATTATGATTGCTGCCATTATTATTATTATTACTGCTCTAATTGCAGTCCTTGTTGCCGTTTATCATTAGGCTGCGATTGAAGCTGACATTCTCTGGCCTGTGACCCCTTCAGTCTCTGTTTAATATATCCGCCGAATGGCCACTCTAGATTGAGAGTGTGGCTGTAAGTAGGTCTTCTGAGATCAGAGCCTTCTCACACAGGTAATGTACGGTATATACATTAACCGCTTTCCCACTGCCCTATAGCAGAAATACTGCTACAGGGCAACAGGGGTGCTCAAAATCACGTATATATACGTGATTTTGCATTTCCGGGTAGGGGGAGCCATTATTCGCAGCTGCAGCTGTCAATCACCAGGTCCTGGCTGGTGATTACCCACTGGCGCCCAACTGTTTTGTTTACTAACAGTCCTCCTCCCTGTCAGCTGGGGCACAGCACAGCCATCCAAAGCAGTGTGCTTTCAGTGAAGCACACAGACACTGCCCCATAGTAAAACACTCCCTGTGCACAGTTAACCCTTTGATCGCCCATCATGTTAACCCCTTCCTGCCCAGTGCCATTAGTACAGCGTCAGTGCTTTTTTTTTTTTAGCACTGATCACTGTACTGGTGTCACTGCGGATGTCAAAGACACCAAGTCAGTTCCCCCCCAGTGTCAGAATGTCCACCACAGCCCCACTATAAGTCACTGACCGCCGTCATTACTAGTAAAAAAACAAATTCCAGTATATATACCACCATTTGTAAACACTATAACTTTCACGTAAACCAATTAATTTACACATATTGGTATTTTTTTTATTTATTTTTTTTTAGCAAAGACATTGCAGAAGACATTTTGGCCTAAATTTATGCCGAAATTTGATTTTCAAAAAATATTGTTTTTTTTCTAAAAATTGTCGGCCTTTTTTTTTATAGCGCAACAAATAAAAAACGCACAGGCAATCAAATACCACCGAAAGAAAGCTCAATTCGTGGGAAAAAAGGACATAAATTGAATTTGGGTGCAGCATTGCATGAGTGCGCAATCGTCAGTTAAAGTAACGCAGCGCCGTAATGGAAAAATGGCCTGGTCGGGAAGAGGGGTAAATCCTCAGGAGGGCAAGTGGTTAAAGCTGACCATAAGCAATACAATTTGATTGTATACAACTTTGTTGAGATGTACTGAGAGCTACTGTACTGTGTGTAGGCAAGAGTCTGCCTGATTGGATACAAATTGATTGGATAGATAAGGTATTTCCTCATAATATATATTGGTAAATCTAAAGAGATTGTACAGGGATAGTATAGTTTATGGCCACTTTGAAAGCAGAACTAAACTCTCTCAATCATCTTTAACCCCTCGCCTACAGGGCACTTATACCCCCTTCCTGCCCAGGCCAATTTCCAGCTTTCAGCGCTGTCGCACTTTTGAATGACAATTGCGTGGTCATGCAACGCTGTACCCATATGAAATTTTTATAATTTTTTTGTGACAAATAGAGCTTTATTTTGGTGGTATTTAATCACTTTGGGTTTTTTTTTTTTTTCTTAAACAAACCAAAAACCACTGAAAATTTTGAAAAAAAAAATTTTTTTTCTTAGTTTTTGTTATAAAATGTTGTAAATAAGTGTTTTTTGTCCTTCACTGATGTGCGCTAATGAGGCTGCACTGATGGGCACTGATGGACACTGATGAGGAGGCACTGGTAGGTGGCACTGATGGGCATTGACAGGCATCACTGATGGGCACTGAAAGGCAGCACTGATACATGGCACTGATAGGCGGCACTGACTGGCACTAATAGGCGGCACTGACTGGCACTGATAGGCGGCACTGACTGGCACTGTTAGGCGGCACTGACGCACACTGATAGGTGGCACTGACTGGCACACTGATAGGCGGCACTGACAGGCGGCACTGATAGGTGGCACTGATTGGCATTGATAGGTGGTACTGACTGGCACTGATGGGTGACACTGAAAGACAGCTCAGATGGACACTGATGTGCACTGGTAGGCACTGATGGGCACTGGCACAAGGCACTGATGAGCACTGACATAAGGCACTGATGGACACTGACAGGTGGCACTGCTGGGGCTACACTGATCATCAGGGCACACTGAGCATCATTGCCCTGATGATCAGTGTACATGTCCCCTCCGCGGAAAAGCCGATTACCGGCTCTCCTCTCCTCTGTCAGCGTGACAGCTCGAGAGGAGAGAAATGCCGATAACTGGCATTTCCCTGTTTACATGTGTTCAGCTGTGATTGGACACAGCTAATCACATAACCGAGCCGACATCTTCGGCTCTTTCCGTGATCGGTGATCCGCTGTGTCCGAGGGACACAGCGCACCGCCGATCGCCGCGCGCTGCGCGCTCCCTGAGCCGCGCATGGGCAGTGAGAATGGGAGGACGTTATATGTCGTCCTATCAGAACGAGAGAACCACCTTGCGCCTCTCATATTACTATATGGCGGGCGGGAGGTGGTTAAGAGCTGCTTGCATTAGTAAATATATAGGAAAGTATATTATATTTACTTGTTTTTTAAACTTTTTTTTTTTACATTTCTTCAGTTACTTCCTGGCGAAGCCAAAATAATGTCATACATCTCAGGAATCTTCACGGGCATTTTTTTCTCTCATCTGGAGGAGGGGCTTTCTCAGCTAAGCACACCCTCCTGTCTGCATGCCTGAGCAAAGAGCCGATAGAATCCAGGAAGTAAATGCTACATGAATCATCTGCCCTTACTCAAGATGGCCACAACTTGAACTGCTAGGGGGTAAAAACTAATATTTCAACACACATAAACTATATTAGGAAATTTGACTGGCTGGCAACACCCAGTTTGGCTCTGTTCCATATGATAGCAAATAGATTGCTCTCTCTATAAATATGTGGGGCCCTCTGCTGTATAGTATGACAACTGAAATCTATAAGTTTTTAGAAGGACACGTGCAGCTAGACACTATTGGAAGAAGTAACAGACTTGTGTCAACTTGTGCTGGTTTAATAGTTTTATTGTCTTAGGCAGGGGCGGACTGACAACTCATGGGGCCCCCGAGCAATAGGGGATCATGGGGTCCCTGTGTCCTTGCCCACACTCAAAAAAGCCTATGAAAAAGGTACCAGGGGCACCTCATGGGGGGGCCCTCGGGCAATGCCTGAGTTTCCAAAAACGGATGTAAAAAAACTGATGATGTGTTGATGATTGCTGATTTATGTATGAACTTTGTGTTGGTTTTTGTTTGTTTGTTTGTTAAAAGGAAAAAAAATGTCTTAAAAAAAGAATGCTAAAGACTGATGACAAAGCACAGAGATGGGGCCCCCGGGCAATAATAAATAGGGTTCCTTCAGTTTGCAGACACACTCAAATAAAAGCCTATGAAAAGGTACATTCTAGGTACCAGGGGCACCTCATGGGGATAAAAAAAAGTGATACAAAAAAAACGGATGTCCAGTACTGTGAAAAAAGGCCTGATGTAAACTCATGAGCCAAGGCAAAAGCCTTGGTGCTTATGGGTAAGGGGAGCATGACCTCAAAAAACGGATGATTGGGAAAAACTGATGAAAAAACTGGATGTAAAAAAAACTGATGTAAAAATGACATGCTTCTTTCAACGGAAACGGAAAAACGCTGATGATTTATCCGTTAATGTCCATATCCGTTAACATCCGTGCAAAAGAAAAACTGATGAAAAACTGATGGATGAAAAAAACTGATGAACAAACTGATGAAAAAACGGATGTAAACTGATGAAAAACATAAGAAAAAACTGAAAATGCAAAATTGGATGAAAAACGGATGAAAAACGGATGTAAACGGATGAAAAAAAGCTGATGAAAAACGGATGTAAACTGATGAACAACAGATGAAAAAAACTGATGAAAAAGGGATGTAAACTGATGAAAAACGGATGAAAAAAAACTGCTGAAAAACAGATGTAAACTGATGAAAAACGGATGAAAAAAACAGATGAAAAACGGATAAAAAAACTCCTGAAAAACATAAGTAAACTGATGAAAAACGGATGAAAAAAGTGATAAAAAACGGATGTAAACTGATTGAAAAAAAGTGATGAAAAATGGATGTAAACTGATGAAAAATAGATGAAAAAAGCTGATGAAAAACGGATGTAAACTGATGAACAACGGATGAAAAAAACTGATCAAAAGGGATGTAAACTGATGAAAAACGGATGAAAAAAATGATAAAAAACGGATGTAAACTGATGAAAAATGGATGAAAACAACTGATGAAAAATGGATGTAAACTGATGAAAAACAGGTGAAAAAAACTGATGAAAAATGGATGTAAACTGATGGAAAAAACTGATGAAAAACGGATGAAAAAAAACTGATGATAAACGGATGTAAACTGATGAAAAATGGATTAAAAAAACTGATGAAAAAAAGTGACTGAACTGATGAAAAAACGGAACGCCCGTGTGAAAAGAGACCTTAGCTCATGAGGTTATAGTGTCAGGTGTTGCATTTTCAAAAAGCATCACATGCAACTACTGTATGTACAGTAAAAAAAATCAACTTACTCAGGGTACATGCACGTGGCCATAAAAACGACAGCTAGTACTCAGGACCTCTCTGTACTCTGTATGTATATGAAGTTTAAAGGTATATAGCAATAATACAGTCGGATATTTCCACCTCGTGCCCTCTGTTGCTAGGAAGCAGGCAGCTCTTGTACTCCGAGTACATGAACACTGTACACATATATACTTTAGCATAGATCATACAAGCATACAGCAACCTCTGCTGGGACTCAAGTGGTTATTGTTGCGTAGCGTCCTCTGCTGCTATGACACAGGCAGCTTTTGCTGCATAGCATTCTTAGTCGCTAGGATGCAAGTGGTTATTACCACCTAGAAACTGCTTTTGCTAGGATGCAGCAAAAACCTGCTCAAGCTCTGAGTATATGTACGCAAATACATTTTAGCACAAATTTACAAGTGTACAGAGTCCTATGCTAGGACACAAGTGACTATTGTTGCCTAGCAACCTCTGTTGCTGTGACACAGGCAGATATTTCTGCCTACCATCTTTAGTCACTAGGAGTCAAGCAGCTATTGCTACCTAATGTCCGTTGCTAGGACGCAGTCGGCTACTGCTACCTATCATCTTCCTTTGCTAGGACGCAGGGGGCTCTTGTACTCTGTGTACATGTATGTATGTAAACCTTAGCACAAAATATAGAAGCATAGTGTCCTTTGCTTGGACACAAGCAGCTAGTGTTTCCTAGCATCCACCATTGCTATAACACAGGCAGCTTTTGCCCCCTATCACCCTTAGTCACTATGATGCTAGCGGCTATTGCTGTCTAGTGTGGTTTGTTACTAGGCAGCAGGTGGCTACTGCCGCCTAGCATCTTCAGTTGATAGGATGCAGGCAGCTCAGGCAGCTATTGCCGCCTAGTTTTCTTTGTTGCTAGGATGCAGGCAGCTCTTGTACTTCAATAGAGTACATTTGTGCTGTATGCATGTAAACGTTAGCATGAACATTTACATGCGTATAGTGTAAAATACAGTCCTGTGAGCTGAAATAGAAAAAAATCAGTTGATTCCCCCAATCTATGATAACAGTGTGGATGGAGGAATCTCCCTGCCAGCTACTGTATTTAGGCAACTGCGCCACAACCAGGGGCGGACTGACCATTTGGAAACTCGGGCACTGCCTGAGCGCCCGGGGTCAGTAGAGGGCCCCATGAGATGCCCCTGGTACCTTTTTCATAGGCTTTTTTGATTTTGGGCTAGGACACAGGGGCCCCATGATCCCCTGTTGCCCGGGGGCCCCATGAGTTGTCAGTCTGCCCCTGGCTACAACCACCTTAAGGCACCTCAGCTGCTTGTGAAAAACTTGTGAATGGGTGCTAAATGGTCACATACACATTGTCATGGTGTGGCAAAAAAAAGTAGGGCACGTCATGCTTGGCAAGCAGTACCACTTGTCAACACAACCATACATGTGAATGGGTTGCGTCATGATGAAGAGAGATTTCAGTAGGAGATCTCTCTTCAGACGCATGGAAGGCAGAATGTTGCCTTCTGATCACCTGCTACCTGCAGACCAGCCGCTGCTGGCAAAGTGATCCACCACCATTGTAGGATTGTAATGTGTGATCAGTATCCAGAAGACTGTACACATTGTAACATATACATTTCCGGTCCCTCATAGTAACTGAGACCAACCCTCCAGCCAGGATCAGACTGGGTTCCACATAGGGATTCCTAGAATGTGATGTTTAGTCTTTCGCACAGGCACAGATGGAGGAAACGGTTAATAAGTCACAGAAGACACAGTTGACTTTGGAAGCACAGCAGGCGATAACGATTACAGTAGAAGAAACCATTACGTTCACATCAGACTCTTCCAGAGTCCGGTGTGGGGGAATTGCACACCTGCCCTTCCTGTGTACACCTCCCATAGCCATCCACCTGTCATTGTCCTGTGACACCCTCTGTGTACAGAAGATCCTAATGTCTGGGTTTATCTCCTGATTTATAGCAGGTGCACCACCGCTTCCATCAGCGATAACAGAAATCCACAGTATGGCGTCAATCTCACACGCCACAACTGTCATTACTTCTCAGTACGCACTATCGACATCACATCGCTGCCATGAGAGGTATGAGGACACCACCACTGTCTATTATTGGCAGCCTGCAACAGCTGGATGTTTAGATGTCAACTGTCCTAGATTTTCCAAGATAGTCCCACATCTCGGCCCTCTGTATCACCGATGCGGTGTCCCTGGCCATGCCCTGGGATCACAATGAGTTCCTGCACATGTGCACTCTTACGTGTTATGCAGCATTGTTCTTGACCTAGTGAATTCAGCAAATGTCCTGCTGCAATCCGCTGCTCAGGTGACATAGCACCGCCATTTTGAACCTCCTCTGTCATCAGAAGCTGCGTGCCTTTTCCAGCTTCAGGTAGTCACCCCGATGATGCACTCCAGTCCCCCCAAACGAACGCTGTCTGCTGCAGCCTACTGTGATATAATACACGGTAGTCCCAGGGGGCTGTAGGAGCAAGGACATATTATTCTTGGGCAGCACAGTGGCTAAATGGTTAGCACTTCCGCCTGGCAATACTAGGGTTGTTGGTTCGAGTCCCAGCCACGGCACCTCCTGCCTGGAGTTTGCATGTTCTCCCTGTGGCTGCGTGGGTTTCCTCCCACACTCCAAAGACATGCTGGTAGGTGAATTGTCTCCTGTCTAAATTGTCCCTAGTATGTGTATGTATGAATGTGAGTTAGGGACCTTAGATTGTACGCCCCTTGAGGGTTAGGGACCTTAGATTGTACGCCCCTTGAGGGTTAGGGACTGATG